TTTTTTTTTTTGGAATATAGTATGGTGTTGTATAGGTGAAATAATATGTATGCTTTTTACGACTTCGTTATGAAGCTTGAACTGCTTTTACCTTGATAGTTGTACTTCTTGTGTTGAATCAGATGGTGTTGATGCTGATTGCATTATGTATGATTAATTTCATTTATGATGCATCTTCTGTGTCTTGATATAAAGACGAGAAGAAGTTCTGGGAATCATAGTGCTGGTTGAGCCTGACTGGCCCGCTATGAATAGCATAGCTTTGTGTGTTGACCCCGACTCCTAGTTTTAGTTTGCTACCTAGTTTATTTCCGTAAACGTTCTGATGGTGATTGCAATCAGTTTATATCTGAAACACCTATAGTTTTAGTTTGCTACCTAGTTTATTTTCGTAAACGTTCTGATGGTGATTGCAATCAGTTTATATCTGAAACTCCTGTACGATGATTTCGAAATACTCAAAGATCCCCCATGAAACCCCTTTTGAAACTATGGTGCGTTGGCAGATAGATCATTGCTTTCCTTAATCTCCAGCCAATGATTCATCACAGAATTGTCAGATAGATCATTGCTTTCCTTAATCTCCAGCCAATGATTCATCAGAGGATTGTCCTGAACTTTCACGGGAATCTCAAATGCATTTCAGCTCAATCCCTTGTGGATTGTTTCCAGTACTCAGCGGTTCGATCAAACCATTTCATAATCTCACTCTCTGACAAACGTAATCTGAGTCGTTGGTCTTGTGATAGACACAACAGACTTGATTGTGCGGAACTCCACCATGGCATTTTCCTGACATCTTCCCAATGGTGGCTTGGAAATAAAAGCCATCACAGTTATTTTGCCTATGAAATTTCTTGTATTGTCAAGTCAAATGACAATCACAAGGTCGTGGGCTTCTTCAATGGCCATAGGGATTTATTTGATTGATAGCAACTGCTTACAGAGTGAAGACCAATGGATGCAAAACGATCGAGGGCTTTTAGGGCCGTTTACTGTGATCGAGAATTGTGATCTGGAGCTGGATTGTGGATGGAACATTGTTTTTATTGATTTTTCGACCGAGTATGGAGTAAATGGAGATGCTGAGTTATTCAAAATTTGTTTCAATCTGAGGTTGGATGTGTCCGAAGGCTGGCTTTTCGTGAGGTGCAATCACACGAGCCGTGTGCAGCCGTTTGGATTATGGATGAATGTGATTACCGACCGTTCCTTAACAATTATCTGAGGTATCACGATCAAAATGTATTGTAGAGAGCTCGTGATTTTAAAACTATATAAGAATGGTGAAGTTCTGTTTCCATGGTGGTGGGCTAATTATGAGATTTTCAGTATCAAGCTTTGCTTCTCTTGGTTTTGTCTTAGGTTTATCTCCACTCTCTTTGCTGCACTTTCTTTTTCACTATGAGATCATGTAGGACCAAAATATGAAACCATTACTTGAGGAAATGAACCTAAAGTATCTCAAACTGCTATGTGGTTATTGATTACAATGTGAAGCTATCAATCATCATATCTGCTAATTCGCGTTCTCGAGGTATAAATCGTGTTTTCTGGCTCGTCATTAGGTTCGCCAACTTTTCGAAAAAAGCGCTGGCATAAAGCCATAGGTTGATTGATGATTCGTTAAAATACGTAATAATACATGTAACAACAACATGCTCGCCTTGTAAAAGAGGCTGAATCGATCTTTTTTCCTTTTTCCGGTTCTTTTTTTTTCATTGAAAGGATGCTGCTGATAACTGCTAACTGTTACTGTTCAACACCTCCCAAGACTTGATGAAAAAAATTCTCAAATCAATGAATACAAAAAATAAAAACACAAAACCCAGCTAGTTAAAGTTAATTATCAATCAATGCAGGAGCGAAACAATAGCTAGGCAGTTGCTCGCTGTATTCTTCACCTTCTCGGCCACGTCTGTGAACGGAGACTCGTCTCCAAACCGAGCAAGGCCGTCCTCACAATCCCCAATGTCGGTTATAACGGCGCTAAGCATGGTGCTCATGGTGCCCTTATCCCGTCTCGGAAAAGCATCAATCGCACTCTCGAAATTGTAAACGGCCTCATCATACATGTCCCTGCAGTCCCTGAGCACCGAGGCTAGCTCTGGGGGGCCCACCGAGCCATCCACCACCTTCTTAGCTACGGAGAGCCCGGTTCTCGCCAGGTCAGCACCGACCCGCATGGAAACTTCTAGAACAATGGGGATGTCGTAGTTTCCGTCCAGGCGCGGGACCAAGGTGTCCAGGCAAAGCTCTGGGTGGTCAGTCGAATTGCATATCTCCTTCACCTCGGTGCCAGCATCAGCGGCCGGGACCGGGGCCAAAGAGAGGTCGAATTGGGCCGGCCCGAACTCGTCTGTATTGTCCTCATCATCTGTACCCAGGTAGGATGGTGACGGGCTGGGCTTATCCGCATCTGTATCTGTGTACGATGGTGATGGGCCAGGGCCGGCGGATGCTGCGGGCCCATCCGCGTTCGGGGATGGGGCGTAAGATGGTGACGGGCCGGGCCCAGACTCAGGGGACGGTGACGGGCTAGGCCCGAGTTCAACAGATGGAGACGGGACGGGGGCTGAGGCTGAAGAGGAGCCGGGGGAAGGGGATGGAGAGAGGTCATGGGGACGGGCGAGATGGAGGGAGAGGAGGAGAGAGATGGAGAGGAGCAGCAGCCTTGGGGTGTTATCGGCTGCCATTTTTGGGTTTGTTTTCAGTGTGTGTGTGTGTGTGAAGTTTTATGGAGGAATGTTTAAGGGTGCATGGAACTTGGTTTGCTATGCATTTATTCATAGATGAAGCATGAGAATGAATAAAGGAGGACCCCATGCTTTTATTTTATTTTCCTTGGTTTTTGGGTGGTGTTTTTTGGCTATTTTAACGGAATTGTGGCTGTGGTGAGGATTTTGTTGTCAAAGGGAGTCGTACATTTATTTTTCAGTTACTTCATTCCCTTTGAAAAATTTGGAAAACGGTCATAGATTTACGGCTTGAGGATAGGATTTCACCCCCTCCTCTAATATTTGAGAACCTAATGGAGGACTTGTGGAGACATTTATATTTTATTTTTTTATCATCTATACATGATTTGGTATATCATATTGTTATGGTATGTAAATATTTATGTTTATTTATGGTGGGTTTATTAGGTTGTACTCTATATATATCTTTGTATAAACCTTAATGAAAGACAAGATGGTATTACAACTTTTATTCTTTCCGGCCGCTTTTGAACATGCACTCTTCCTCTACGTCTCATGTTAATTTTTTTTCCTCTACTTCTCATGGTAACAGTCACCGGAGCTCGATTGGCTTAGTGGCAAATAGGCTGATCAAATAAACAGCTCCTAGATCGGTTAGATCGGATTAGCTCAGTATGAGAGCGTTGTGGCTAGGACAGCTCGGGACCAGGTCGTGGGAATGAAGAGCAACAGCAGGTCGACTTAGGGCTCCAGGATAGTGTGACATTCACTAGACCTCGGCTTAAGCAAAAAAACATTGAGATTGGAACGAGTAAAACAACAATGATCGAGCTACTTAGCTTGGTCAGGCGTAGGATCGCGTCATGAGCTAGCTTATGAATGAGAAGGCTCGGGATGAGTATTGAAAATAGTTCGGTTACATCGAGCTGATAACTAATTAAGAGACCTAAGGTCCTCAACAATATGACCTACATGACTCAATAAAGAAGGTAGAATCGTGTGCGAACAGAAGCAGATACGAATGGTATGAACGCAATAACATGAACACGGTCAAGATAAGAGCAATACTTGGGCAGCAAGATCAGGCAGATCTTAGGCAACAAGGATACTTAGGCAACAAGATTAGCAGATCTTGGGCAATAAGGGTACTTGGAGAGCAAGATCAAGCAAATATAGGAGAACAATGTAATGTTTTCATATAAAGAGACGAGGTATGACTATTATTCTCATTCTCTTTTATAACATTCTAAGCCATTAATTATTATACACCATTATTCCAAAAAATTGGAGTGAACGTCATAGGCTCTACGCGAGATATCCAAACGTTGTTTTGCAGGTAATTGAAGTGGTTCAAGGACGATTCGGGCGAAGTTAGAACTAATCGAAGTTATACACATTAATTGGCACTGTTTGTGGGACTTATAAAAAATCCATCAAACACCAACCATAGCGAACGACGGCACCACAAAAAACTTGGAAGCTAGCTTTAACGAAGCTTGGTTACTCGCTAGTCAGAGATAGGACCACTGTCAAGCTATCTGAGGTCAATTTTGACACCAGCTACTTCGGTCCTAATCTTCCAGGATTTGGAGGCGCTCCAAAATTTGCGTTGATGACCAACTACCAGACATGTCAGCCAGAGGGGTAGTCGAGTATAATAATAGTGCTGATTATCCCAGTTGTACAAGATTCGCCACGAGAAATTTCAAAGAGGCCGACGAAACCAACCAGAGAAACTCCAAACGGAAAGTCGATTGTGGCGGTCACAAAGGACGAGCTCAATAGGATGACAGTTAATGATATTGTGGCCCAGTTATCATAACCACATATTGCGAGGTCGATGAACCTTGTTATAACACGAAGGATGGGAGGTCAAGATCCCAAGCAGCTCGGCCCAAGGGACCCTATGCAATTTAATAGTGAAATGAATGGCAGCTCAAATTCGAGAGCTGCAAGCCAAGGTTGAGGGCAGACAGATATGTCGTTCCCGAGGACATTCTCAGGAGGTGTTAGTGGCGGAATTACCCAACAGTTTTTCCGAGCTCACCATTACTTATGATGGGTCTACCGATCCAATCCACCACTCGAGGAGTTTTGAGAACATGGCGATCTTACATAGATACACCTATGCAGTACGGTATAGAGCTTTTGTGGCAACCTTGAGGGGAGGGGGGGCTTAGGATTGGTTCCATCAGTTGGCCCCAGGGTCAGCTAGATATTGTGAGGGGTTTTTTTTACTATATTTCTGAACCAGTTTGCTAGTGTCGGGGCTCACGGGAAGACCTACCTCACACAGATATCTATGCACCAGAAGAAAAATGAGTCTTTACGAAATTATGTAGCTCGTTACACTCGAGATTGTGTGCATGCTCTTTCAGCTTCAGAGGACGCCAAAATTAGGGGAGTGTGACTAGGAGATTGAGGGAAGATCCTTCTCGGAGATCATTATCGAAAAAACTCAGCACATGTCTATGATGAAATTCTAGAGAAGTGTGATGAATACACAAACATAGAAGCGGTGAAGGCTGATTTTTCGAAGGTCGAGAAAGAGATGCGGCCATAAGTAAGGAAAGAACTGGGAAGCTCTCCCAAAAAAGAGAGGTTGGATGTAAGACAAAATGAAAACTATCGAGGTTTCCCAAATAGTGATGGCCATAGGTATGAGAAGTACACCTCTGAGATCTAACCTAGCACAGTGCTGGAGACCATGAAAAAGATGCCAGGAGAGGACATGGTTACATAGTCCAGGGCAAGAAATGAGGGTCCCACCCAGCCAAAATTCAAACCTATATTATTGTTTCCATCTTGATTATGGACACACAACCGAAAATTGCATCAATCTAAAGGACGAAATTGAGAGATTAATCAGAGTGAGGCCCTTGAAAGAATTTGTTTACAAGGATAAAAAATGAAGGGATCAAGGCGAGAGGATTGGGTAACAGGACCTCGAAATAGTAAACGAGAAGCCAATGTAAGGGGTTACTCATATGAACTCGAGAGGTCCTATGGATGATGATTCTAATAATGCATAAAAAACATGCGTGAGCTACTAAAGAAAGAGAGAATAAATCAGGTTTACAATGGATAAGCCGACAATTAGCTTTGAGGCAGGAGATTTCTAAGGATTGCATAAACCTCATAACGATGCTTTGGTCATTTCTGTTGGGGTTGTGTGTTATAAGATGCAACGAGTACTTATTGACATTGAAAGCTCGGTAGATGTTCGTTTCTATGATTATTTAAGACATATGGAGTTAAAGGTAGACATGAAAGAGGTAAGCACGGTCCCATATGGATTAAATAGTGGGATTTCAATCCAATAAGAGAGGTCACGCTTCTAATGGCATTGGGGTCAAGCTTGACCTGAAAAGTGAAGATGGTGAGGTTCTTATTGGTAAAGACAAGCTGAATTTATAACATTATACTTTGACGACCAAGTATTAATGCATTCCATGCAGTGGTGTCAACGTACCATACAAAAGTTAAGTTTCATGTAGAAGAACTGGTAGTTGAGGTCGAATGGAATCAGCTCACACCAAGGTTGTGCTACCAGGTGACAGTGAGAGTTAAGCAGCAGCCAGACAAGGTGAATAATGATTTGAATATATCAAAACCTAAAAAGAATGCATGAGAAATAAAACGAGAGAAAGATTAGTAGAGGTGTAGTTGGTTGAAGGGGTCGAAGATCGGATAGTGAAAGTTGGAAGAAATTGCAGAAACACTTGAGGAGTGAGTTGGTTAACCTCATTAAAGAGTTCAAGTATATTTTTCCGTTCACAATAAAGGAGCTCTCATGAATTGATAATAACATTATGGAACATAGGTTGAGTACTGATCAGAAAGTCTGATATGAGATAACCACACCAGATCAACATGAAAGAAATAGTAACCAAATCAAATGGGTCAACCACCATGTAGAACGGGGAATGGAGAATACATAGGTCAAAGGACATCCAGGTCAAAGACGATGGTGGTGCCTCAAAGGATATCAGCAGGTCGAACGACGGCCCTTGAAGGGCCTGGTGGAATTTCGTCTTAAAAGGGCACCTGGTTGAAGGATCGACCAGGTAGGCGTAGCAACAGGGCTCGACTTCGACGACGCTCCTCCTCGAGATAATCAAGGTCAGACGTATAAAGAAAAAGATCAAGTGATATGAAGGAATCTTACCATAATTAATACTGCACTTGGGCTATTACACGCGACACTATCTGATTAGTCTAGGCCCCATAACTGCCTAGGGTAGTACGGGGGCATCCAGCTAATCATAACCGGGCAGGTTTCTAGAAGCAGGTAACTCACTCTTATAAATAGGATTGAGATGTATGGTTTTAAGAAGTGTTTTAAATACCGTACCGGTCATTATACCGGACGAGCCAACGATACGCGGTTCAACCGGTTCGACTGGCTTTACCGTCTATTTTACCGGTATTAATAAATATTAAATTAATTTGTTATTACAATATAAATAATGTACAAAACTAACTTTAATTAATACTAAATTAATTAACATCTAATAACAATGTAAACATATTAAAATTAAATGTAAAACTTTTGATTTATATAAAAAAAGAATAATAAAAATATATTAAAATATTTTTTCAAAAAAATTGGCATAAACCTGTACTTTGACCGGTATTTTGGCCGATAAAACTGGTATTTTCCGGTATGAAACCGGTATAAACCGGTATTTTGTCAAAAACGCTATTCAGAGTGAACCGTACCGGTCGGACCACCGATATCCGGTATTACCGGTAATACCGGCCGGTACGGTACGATATTTAAAACATTGACTTTAAGGTTACATTCAATGTTATGCTTTTTATACACTTTTATATTGCATTTTTTTTTCAAACGATAATATCATAATAAAAAACAAAAAACGTACTTACAACCGGCTAACTAGCCGGAAAAGGGAGGTCTACCGCCAGGTGGTAGCCTACAACACAAAACACTACAAACCGCACAAAAAACGAAAAAACTCCACTAATAGAGAATACACACTCCCCGACGGGAGAATACACGCTCCCCAACGGGAGAATAACGCTTCCCAATGGAAGTAAAACACAAACTCACGCTAACAGACTAAACAAAACACGAACACATAAATAAACAAAAAATCCTAAAAACGAAACAAACACGAAGAAGCTAAAGCCATCCCCAACCGGCGGGAAAGCCAAGATCCTCCATACCCCGAGCCAAACACCCATCGCGAAACACCGAGAAACCACAAGATCTACGGCATAAATACAAAGGATTCAGAAACTCCCCTAATGGGCTAACCAGATCCGGAACACAAAGTTCGATAGCACCTCAAGTACTCCACAGACTCAACCTAGGCCGAACCACTCCACAGCCCCCCCNNCCCCCCCCTTCCACGCGTACGCTGGAGCCGCCGCACCATTGCACAGCCACTGCCAGAGGTCCCCACCTTCCAAACACCAGAGAAGGCCGGGCAAGGGAGGAACCACGGCTAGACCGCCGCAAGGACGCCCGTGACGTCCGTCGGACAAAGACCGAGAGTGTCGCCCGCCTCTTCTCGCCCGCCATGGAAATCAGAGCAATATTGGAACCACGCGAGGAGGTGGAGACGGGAGAGCCACAGCCACGCCGCCGGGCCCGAGAAGAGCCAGATGTTCGCCGGAAATAGGGAGGCTTGGGCCCGAGAAGAGCCAGATATTGCACTTCATTTCTAAAAATATTAACCTAAGTATCGGAGGCTCTTCACGAAAAAAACTTCTCCAGTGTGAGAGTTCTGCAGGTTCAAAGTCGTTCAACCAGAGATCAAGCTCGAGATCTAGCTATTTTCAGCCGTTTTCAGTCGGTCAGAGGTCTTTACGATGTCATTTGGCACCGTCTGTGGCGAATTTCTTTCGGAAAGTTATGTGTTAACAATAGTCATGACACGTGAAATCCCAAGGAAGAACTTAGAACCCGCATCTATGATCTGCAAGGGACTTTATGGAAACACTTCATTCATCATAGATTGCACTGAAATACAATCTTCATAGGCATCCATCCATCCACACACTTTACGTCAAATTGTTTCTTATTGCTCCTTAGATTTTCAATATTTATCCCATTTAAAACAAAAACTTTTCGCACTACCCTTCTACACTAGTTAATGGACTCAAGCGGCATATGTGAACTACAACTCAAAATGTTTTGTGATCACATGCAGGGTCATACACATTTCTCTTCCTTTTGATTTTTTCAGTGCTACTTGAACAAGTCATAACTCCACATTATTGTTTGGTGCTTATTGAGATCATCTTCAGAGGAATTTTCACCTTGTGGTGTGTCGTATCCCTCTCCATTTACTTTAATAGAGAGCTCAACACCCAATTCTACAAAATATATAGAAGTGTATGTCACGCATCTTGTAGTCTCAGTGGGCTCAATAGTTCCCCTATCAACATTATCGTCTTCTAATGCACTGTTTAGGACTCCTCGGCACAAAGGTGTTGCTGAAAGGAGAGATTGTTTGATTAGAGTATGTCAAATAATTCAACATTATCGTCTTCTACATGGTTGCATGCAAGCACAAATGAGTTTGTAACCATACTCGAATGGATATGTTCGGAAGCATATTCAACATTGTCGTGTCCAATATCCATACAAGCAAAAAAGTGTTGAGAAGAGAATAGACTTGTGAATATGTTTGAATAATTCCACAATATCTTCTTCTATGTGCATGTGCATTAAAAATTAAATTTTTATTTCCAAAACAAGGTCCTAATAAAAATAGTGAATAGTTCTTCAAACGCCTAATAAACGCGAAGAGAAAAAACCATCCTCTAACAAATATGGTTACAACTTATAAGTATGTTCAAGTAATTTAACTTTATTGTTGTTTACGTACTTAAATAGGTTACAACATATGCAGAGAAATGTTCATTCAAACTTAATTGCACGAGTAATCTCCCAATCAACCATGTCATCATGACCTTGCTCAAGAAACCCTGCCAAGTCCTGGCTTCTGCTGTGCGCAATTGCCACAATAAATTGTTCGTGCTCAAACGAGGATGGGTACATGATTTGTTCTTCCTAAAACAAAATCAAACGAGTAATCATTAGAAAACAAATCGATCACTTCACATAAAATATTCTTTAATAAAAAGGAGTAGTTAGAAAAGAAAAAAAAAAAAAAAAAAAAGAAGTTTAAAGTAATTAGAAAGAATGAAAAGAGTATTTTCAAGATTCAATATCAACAAAGGAATAATGATTACAAATACTGTCATGTTTTAAGTATCTTCGAGATTCAGCTATCGGGTTGTTTCTATCATTGTAATTATGTGTTTTTATTATAAAATTTTCTATCGTTCCGAGAAAAAAAAAAAAAAAAGTATCTCCAACATCCACTTTACAATTTCATGTGCACAAGTGAAGATGAGATATTTACTAGGTCACAAATTCTTATATGTGGGGCCCAATGGACTCGTATTATATATGTAGTTTTGCAATTCCATGTGCAAAAGTGAGTGAAGAAGATTTTTATATAGTCATAACTCGGGTAAACCGAATTAACACCAAGTAAAATAGGTCGGCCGGTTTAAAGATAGACCAGGTCGGACCTATGGAGACCAAGTACGTGAGTAAACAAGGGAAGCTTGAGCAGGTCGGTTGGACCAGGATGGAGACCAAATAAATGATTAAGATTGATTTGGAACGAGCTAGGAGAAATGTAACAACTAAGTCATACGCGTTGACACCGGGGTGAACGACCTATCAGACTTGGACAAGGGCAAGACAATTGAGAGACCACCTGACCTAAATACATGGAACCTACTAAAATTTAACAGGACGACAAAAGGAGCCGAGACCTATAGACATCTAGCTGACGACCTAACTAAATAAAAACCTGCGGATATAGAGACCTGAATAAGCATTGACCTAATTAAGATAAGGACGAAACTAATTAGGATAAGAATGGATTTTATTAGGATAAGGAAATAATGATCAATATAGTGCATATAAGGATTACTCTCGGGCAGCTCGGGTGGTCAGAATCTTGGGCATCAAGGTACTCTCCCTTTAAATGGGGATGATGTACAACTGAAAGACTTTTTCTACTCTTTCATTCAAAATTCTCAGACATATGTTTATCGTCTTCTTATCTTTTTCAATCACTGACTTTGACCATCAGAGCGCGCACGTCAGGAACACCTCCCGACCTTTGTTTTGCAGGTAACGACTATACTTGGACAGTTTGGAGGTTTAGTAGTCGGTTCAACCCATATCTATGTTCAAACACATCAATATTCATTAGGCATATTCACAATTCACTTGCGTGCGCATTTCCAATTAGCGACTTCGAAATATATCTTTTAAAGAATAAGAGAAGAAAAACAGTAAAAGCTTTTTTTTTATACCTCGGGTAGCTGACAAAACTCATCTGGGGTGATTTGTAGCAACTCGGCAGCCGCGTGACCCACACACCACGCAAAAACTTTTGCTCTTTCATCCGCAATAGTAATTTTCAAAAGGAATGTACGCTCTACTTCGCCCATGCAAATGCGATTGCAGAATTTGCAATTAAAATCACCATTTGGCAACTCCTCAATAAGATGGCCACAAACCGAATGCAGATATTTTGTATCCACATGACAGTGGTCGATTTGATCTACCCATACTCGGCATACCTGATGTCGTAAGATAAATGCTCGTTGGATAATAAAAATATATATACAAAAATTAAAATAAGATTAAAGTTGGAAGAATGCAGATTTCATTTATATATTTATTTCAAACCAGGACAATACTAAAAAAACATGTGAACTGTTGATGCCTCAAACTTTCTTGTTCTAGAATGCATATGCTCAGGCGAGAGGAGCATTTGCAAGTCAAGGTAAAAGAGGAAAAGAAAAAATTGCTAATACTACAACCACAAAGCCATATAAAGATGATTTAATTAGTTGCGAATTCAATTGACGGTTTATTGAACTTTGAGCATATTTCCGATGATTGATTAAAAAAAAAAAAAGTGATTTTTACAAGGTACCTGTGCACCTTTCACATGTGAAGATAGATCAGAAAGGGTTAATAATCTGTGAAGACATGAGGTGTTGAGGAAAGCCGGCAGGCTACTCAAATTGAAGAACGACGATCCAGTGCCATTCTCATACCATGATAATTCAAGGCTGCAATAACCACAAGTGATGATGCACATAGTAAATGTATAAGAAACTTAGAAGCACTGACGCTAGAATTTTATGTGAGTGGCCCAAAAGTAAAGAGATACATATATTATCATGAATTCTTTTATCAGGTTCAAGGAGGATTGGCTCTTGCTAAATCCTTATTTTTTTTAAATATAAGATATCACTATATCTATAACATTTTTATGAGCTGAAGAAGGTAATTTCCCCCCAATGAGCCTGTACCTCAAGTGGTACTTCTCACCCTATATAAGTGTGTTCCATTGCTTGATCATGATTCGATCCTTACACCTCTAAGTTTCTAAGATATTTAGACTCCCCTCCCCATGAACCACTACAGCCATTCCAAAATGAAAGTGATTTCCCCCTACAAGCCCCTTTAAATTAATTCCTGCTTGACATAAAGAGGGAAGAAACTGCCTCACATAGTGCGAGTACTCTGACCAGTTTGCATAACTCAAAATGAAGCTTATATGTGAGCATGGTACCTTTTTCTTGGAGCCAGCAAAGAACTCAAACCAGACAGATAGACAGTATGGCCAATCCCTAGTCTCCCCAGTGACCTACACAACATATGAGAGAGTTACAAATTAATTACAAATTGTAGGTGGATATTCATCTTTGTTTATATATTAAAAGGATACAAGATTTCCTAAATATATATATTGAAAGACTATCTGCATTTTTTATCTTGAAAGGTAGAAGAATAGAAACATGTGGTATTTCCTTTCACTATACATCATGCTCTTCTTTTGGACAAATCAATTTTAGTTTTCTTTTTGTAGGCATGAATAGACCGCATAACCAAAATTGGTGCAAGTTTCATAGAAAGTAGGATAAATTGAAAATGTCGTCTGAAAAGAGTATCTAGTATAAGAAAATTAAATGTACATAAGACCAAGGAATTGCCAACAATTTTACCAATATCCGACAAAATGAAGCTTCACCCATATTGCCCCAGTTGTATCATCAATCCTCAAAGAATACGAGCCTTCTGCTGCTCTTATGCCTGTAACATTACCATAGAGGCTAATGCCCGTCATCTTGTCACGTAGATCAACAACATATGACTGCAAGACTTCAAATATGGAAAAGATAAGGAAAATACGGTAAACTAATTAAGTCAAAGTTTATGCTATATCATGTACTATATAAATAAATCCATTCAGAATAAAACTGAAGGAAGAGAAGATATTTTTGCAGTAAAGTTCTCTGTTATAGTTGTGTGGACAAGATAATAGCTTCTACTTACACGACATAAACAAGAGAAAACAAGGGTCAAAACCATCAATAATCCGCTGAGAACCTATGATTTCTAATGTTCGACAAACCGTACAGTTGAATTGCTCCTCAAGTTCTAGCACATGTAAAACCCGTGGTGTTATGCCCCAAACTATATCATTCCGCAATGTGAATTAAGCCAGTTCATTAGTCAATTAACAGATATAAAAGTACTAAATGACCTATGTGGTAAAAAAAATAAAATTCATACGGAATAGAACTGGACAAAGTTGCAATATTTCCAATATGGATATAAAGGCAAAAATATGACTGATTCCACTTCAAGTTTTGAAGCCAAAGGCTGCAATGCTTGAGAGCTACAATATTTAAGAATGATGAATTTCTTACAGAAAATGAGATTATGATTGTTAACTAATTATGTTGCTTCGACGAAATGGAGATAGCTTACTCGAAAAGGGCAATTGCTAAAGTCAATGGACCCTTGGGAATCACAAGGTAATGTCACTTGAGAAACTAATTGACCTTGACTTAGACTCGCAGCAGTCAAATGTCTTGAGCTTTGATGGAGGTGCTGTGTCAATGCTATGGATACCTGATGATCATAAGCAATTAATCACTTATACACTCTAAAAGTATCTTTTAAAAGTCATTAACGAATTATCAATCCATTACTTGTTCTTTCAGAGGAATGAGAGGGACCAAGTATAACAGGGTTGCACTACCATATTCCAGGCAAACTTCATCACATGTTTCAAGAGAACTATCCTCAGCACTTGCAATAAATGGCCTATCAAGGGCAAGCATACTCCCCACGCTGCATGAAGTGAGTATATTCGCGCATACATGAGTGTCAAAATGTTGAAAACAAGAAGCAAGTTGACAAACAAAACAAATACATATAATATGTGTATATATATACCCCTTCAAATGGCAAAAATATAATTAAGATTTTATTTGTTTTTATTTACCCCTTGATAAACACAAAACATTTCAGAATCTTACTTTATATGAAAAATAAGTTAGGTCAAACCTCATAAATGCTCGTATATGTATATATGTAAATGACTAAAAAGAACCAACTTGAGGTTAACTGTAAACATACCTGAAAAGGTTGGCAACAAGGGTCTGCTCGCCCCAGAGTAAAAATTTTAATCTCGTACCATCGTTATCAACAAGAGTAACTTGTTTTCTCTGTATATTGCCATATCTACCCTGAATTTCCAGTTGTCCTATGTCTTCAATCCTGTCCACAGTTGAGAAGATATGGTTCACATTTCACCGGAAAGTATAAGATATTATTGAAAGTAGTCATTGGCTATCAGGGAAATATTGCCTATACAATTTTTATTTTCACAGTCAGCCCCAATTTGCTAACACTATCTTAATTTTATAAAGGAAACCCTTCAAAAGAAAGCAATAATACTTCATTATATTTATAAGGACTTTTTGCATTACAGTAGAGCACTGATTTTAAGATAAAGTGAAATTACAGAAACACACTGCGTGTCGGCATAGTACCTTGCGTACAATGAGTAAGATGTTCCTTGCTTTACTGCATCAGGTGAAATTGAAGAAAAAGAATCAGAGCAAAACTGTGCTCCAAGAAGCATGGCATCATCATCCTCATCCTGCGTCAAAAGATATTTACATTTATTAGAGATGATGCCTAATTAGAAATGAGAGACTACACATTTCAAGTATCTTAATTATGCAAACTTCTGAAACAACACTAAAATGCAAAATGCGCATACGATGAGTTTACAGTTTCAAAATTGAAAGGGAGAGAGAGAATTGAAAGGAGGAAGCTACCTCATCCAACAATACAACAAAATATTCTGTTGGTAAAAGACGAGCATATGTTGAGTTCCCTGTGGCAACCCGAAGATAACACCCAGTTAAAAGGACTTCACGGCCTTTCTTCAGAATCCCATTTTTGGGATCAGCAATGTCGTAAAACCTGCCCCAGGATGTAAATTAGATCATCCAGGTAGAAACATGTTCACGCAAAGTGATAGTTTCCCATTGAACAAGTAATGTAAGAAGCTTTTTGCTTAAACTGTACAGTCTAACTTCCACATAGTACAACTATTTGAGTGCCAGCTTGGTAATATAATCCATATATCATCAACTTTAGGAGGTGTATTAAAGATCTTAAGAAAATAGGACAGAATAGCATCTGTCTGCATTGATCTTTGTGGAACTAAATTACAATAGGCCATAAGTAGGATAGAATAGATTAATATCTTGAAGATAAAACAGTGCACAATAAACACAATTAAGGAAAATAATGCTTCATATGTCACAGAATAAAACAGGTTTCCGCTGTTTTATTAAGGAATTGCAGCTTGAGGCTAAGGCTGATCTTTGTTGCATGTCACAAACTGATTCTTCTGCATATATAGCACAACATAAACAGATAGCTCTTCATGTGACAAAAATAACAGCATGACGCTTTTCTTTTATACCTCCTGTGAAGATAGAGATCTATTGTATTGGAACTCCAAATATCCCCCAGAGTGAGCATGGAGATGTTTGTTCCTGAAATGTTATTATGTAAATTACAAGTTAACCAACTGAGCAGCCGAAATTCATTGTGGAAACTTTACTCAGAAAGCTAAAAGGATCTAAGAGCATCTCCAATGAATTGTTAATTGTAGAAATGTAGAGGCAATCAGTAAAAAAAACATCTCCAACCCTTAATATCTAGATGGTAATCACAATGATGAGGTTGGAAAGAGAAGGAAAAAAGTCCAGCACTCCTTCTACATGTAGAAATCATGTCAGACGTTATGACTCAGATTTTCCTCTCACTCTCTTCATTTGTTTTTTTTTTTTTTTATAATATAAAATAAATGGATAATGTGAAGATAGAACTCAACCACTGGAGACTTTTGTATGAGATCCAACTTCTATTTGTTCTACATGGATGAAACACCTTCTACATACCCTCCAATTCATGTTAACCGTTGGAGATGCTCTAACATGGAATGTTTCATATGGCAAAGACCAGAAAAAGCATTAAAGCATAGTTATGATCAACTAAAGTTCCATATATATCACGATAGAGAAAAAACCAAAATATAAGGGCCTGCATCATACCTGGAAGAGTAAAAGCATCAATCACAACTGCTTCAATAACACTGCTTAATGATAAGAACTTCTTTTCATATATCGAGTCGATGGTGATGGTGTTTGGGAGCTTCACTCTCTTGTGTTTCTTCTTTAACTGGGCAACAATATCAGATTGTGTTTTTGGAGCTCCACTTCTATTTTGCTCATGCCAAGCCTGAATACAGGCATGCCAATCACGCCATTTAATTCCCTCAACCAGTAAAGATATCAATAACAATGTCTCAACCCATAAGCAACACCAGGATATGATAACTGTAAACAAATATATACTAAAAATCTCCGAAAATCGTAGCTACACAGTCTCCCATAATACCATCTTTTCGAAGCACACCCCATATCTCGGGTCAAAATTAACTTACTAAAAACTCTAGTCATTGCATAATCTGAACTGGAAAGTAAGAACATCCTAAACAAAAATGCAAACCGCAAATACCAGAGAAAGCTCGGAAAGGAGAATAGCAGGCGTCACGCCGCTCGAATAAGCAACGCAAGTTCTGAGAATCCGATTCGCGATCCAGCTCCAACCCGGAGAATGCGTTGTTTCTTCTTCTGACCCACCCTCATTGTCGCACAGAATCGATTTGGCGTGGTCTATGAATTTAATAAATGGATCATCGTTTTCACCAGCTTCCATAGCGTCTGGTTCTTCTATTTCCATTGCGGCGTTCGCCGTGAAGCCGCCGAGCACCAGATCGTGAGGAGAATCCATTTTCCAATCAGATGTAGAGAGAGAAAGGAGTTTGCATCCCTAGTTGCTATGGCGGGATGTTGTGGGGGTTTTTTTGTCCTGTTTTGGCGCGGGAGACTTCTTTGCAAAAAAAATAAAATAGAATAAAATAAAAATGAAAAGGTTGTATGAGAAAATAAGACAAAATTGCAATTTTCGTCTTAAATATTTTTCGCTCTGAACATTTTAGTCTGCTACGAATAGTCAATTTGAATTCAATCCCATTAATCGTACGATACACGAGACAAAAATATTAAACGAGTTATTTTCACAGACTTAGCTTTTTCCGTATAAGTATATAAAACAATAGAGTTATCATCTATTTTTCACCTCTTTTAATTAGAGTTAAGTGTATTAAACAATAAGGTTATAAATTATTTTGCACCCCTTTTAATCAACGTTGTTTTTTTAGTCACAACATTAAATATGAGCATGTTAGGGCTAGCTTGTAAATTAATTAAGGGTCAAAATCTTTTTCACCCCATTATATATCTATTCTTTCTTTTTCACACCAC